GCAGAGGCAGTTGCGGTAAATGGGCCATTATTTTTAACATGCTAAAAAGCGACATTTTGCAGAAAGCAGTGATATATCACGTGTTCGAGCATTTGGAAATTTGAATGATGATTCGAATACGGGCTTCTCGGAAGGTGGATTCGACAGTGACTCCAATCAAACGTTCGAAGCTTTCCAGGAACAAAATAACAGCAGTGCTTCAACCGATTTCAGCGCACTGAGGGAGCAGGAAGCCGAAGCGAGGTCCGCACGATAGTTTTTTGCTTCTTCACCGCCTCGCCCGCGCTGAACGACGTTTCCTCATTTGTCCCATAGAAACCACAATCGTGGTGGATTTCATTGGATTTTATATGCTGCTGCTATGAATGGAGAGACTTGGTCGGACATCACATTTGATCACAAGGAATTCTTCTTCGCTTTCGCGCAATCGGCGAGTCTGTTCATCGTCACGTCGTATAAGAACTCCGTAACTTATTTGTCTTGTTGCACCGTAATTCGACCGTTCCCAGCTGCTTTACGTCAAATGTATAGCTATTTCGGGGCCTCGTTACGTTTAAAAAAAATCGAATTGTGGAACTCCAGGCGGTGAGGATAATTTTGATCCTGGAGTATTTTGTGAACAGATAAGAAAGTGCTAACTCCGTCTGATCAGTTCAGGCTCCAGGTATTTAAGAAAGCGCTTATTCCCTCTGTTCAGTTCAAGCTTTAATTCATCCGTTCACAGAAGATTTGATGAAATCTTGTAGCATTGGCGACCCGTTACATGTACCTTTGACCTTTTTTTTTGTGAACGATTCGTTATTCAGAAATATTTTTTAACGTGCTTTGTGATCGCCTTTCTGATGATCCTGATTTTCCTTCTTTTCTTGACCTGTAAGGCCCAGTACGTATTTGGGGTTTTAACTGAGCAATCAAGAGTAGCTGAAGCATTTCTTCGAGATGTAGCAGCATCCACGTAGTGCTCCCCGATTCTTTGGACACCTTGACAAAGACTATACCGTCCTTTGGATATCTTCTATAAAGATTCATCGCTTTCCGGCATCGCTGGCAAAGATTCATCGTTCTTACCGATACATATTTCTTTTTTTTTCATTCAACCCCGGCGAAATAGCTTCATCGATGTACTGAACACGTCGCGGCTCCCACCATAATATCATTTTTTGGGAGTAGAGTGACAGGGAAAGTGTATAACGAAAATACTGGATGTTGAAGTACTGGACTAAAATTATAATGTCCGCTTTCGTGAATGCCTACGTCTCATATACACATATGGCAGATCTCAAGTTTCGAATACACGCTTGCAATGTTTGTGTTATTACTGGGTTATGTAATTAGTGTGATAATAAAAGTCCTTGTTTTTGCATGAATAATACAGAATATGGGAAAAATAAGGCCGAACAGAGCACAGTTCGGTCTGTGTATACAGCTAAGGGATGAAACACAGACTGCATCATAAATTGTCTTCATACACATGACATTTAGGTGAAATCTTTCCACTCTTCTATTTCAAGATGAGTTCGTTTTACGAAACTCTACAGCAAATGTCCGCTACGCAAAACTTTAGAGACACCTGCTCGCACCAGTTAGGTGGTGAGCAAAACTATCTGTTTTAAACAGTTTATGAAGGTGGAGTTTTGTCAGACTGCAAAGCTTTACATACAACTAGCATGTACCAAAAAACACTTTCGGAACACAACTCGAGCACAGTGCAAGCAACGCCGTATATTTTGTAGCAGTGAAACACGAAGAGCACATTTTTAAATTTGATTACAGATTGGTAGTGAAGCTGTGGACAACAAGGCAGTGTACAGTAGAAGGAATCTTGAGTATAGACAAGTGAAGGAATATAACCATATTTTAGGCAGACACATCCGAAAAAAGAAACAGAGCTTAAATTTGCCGACCAGATATCTTCATCTCCAATAGCATGCTTTAGGAAATTCTTGAATTTTTCACTTCAGACCTTCACTCCAAACGAAGTTTTCAAATTTTTTTTTTTTTTGCAATAAAAGCTCTGAACCAGTAGACATAGCACAGTGAGAAGTAGCAGCGTTATGGAGAAAATCTCACCAAAAGAAAAGACGGTATCTCTGTTATTTGTAAATTTGTTTCTATGATGAATTGGTACTGATATTTGCCAGAAAATCAAAGCCGCCATCAGCTTGTTTTTACACAACCCTCGAAAGAGTAAACAACTTTGCTAGTGGGGGCTTGCTGTTGGCATATGCTACCATCCGGGCTGTTTCCTTAGCACTTCCTTTTCGCATGGGAACTGAATACGGAGGAGGAAAATCAAAATCCGGACAATTCTGCGGTGTTCGCGGAGACGCGGATTCTCTTGACGTTTAGATGGTTCCACCATCCGCACATTATCAAATCTACAGTAAATTTAGGTAACATCGTAGGGATTTTTTGATTCAGTTCAGATTTTCTAGACCCCTTTTCTTCAAAAATAACAGAGGAAATGAGATGGCGAGCAGTGCGAGATAACGACAGATTCAGTGAACAGCAGCAGCGGTAACAGCAATGACTGCAAATATATAATTGACGAAATACGTGGCGCATGAGTACCACACGAAATTTTCATAGCAACAGGGCAGAAACGCCACAAATGCGAGATGTCAATTGCTGGCGATGCTGTCATGTTGACTGTGTGAAATTTATAGGCTCGATTTGCATCGAAAAAATAGAGATCTAAAATGAGTTCTTTTTGGTTAAAATAATTCAAGCCAGCGTACAGTACTTGATTCGTCCTCAAGCATACTCTGAAGTTTCAGACAGTCGTTTGAATCTTCCAGTAGTGAATCCTCCAGTAGTTTAGATTCATGCATTTGTTGTGATGGTAAATTGGTGCTAAAGAGTCAAAACCGTTACAGCTTGCTTCTAAACAGCCAACGTTGCAGCAAGTCATCGATCATCAGAAAATGGCTAATACTGCGCTGGGCTAGTTTCAAATGCCTTTGCAGAGGTAAAAGCAATGAAACACGAAGGAATTGTTTTGGTGGGCGAAGTTTCTAAAAGAATTTGCTAGATCCAAGCACCAGCTGAAGGCATAAAGCCGACTGTGCAATGGTTTATCATTTTGCGTTCGGATGTAAAGACGAGGAGTATGATCTCCTCTCGGGCCACTCCCGTTTACGAAAAGGAATTCTGTTTACGACAAAATAAGCTGTCATAAGTGGATGTAGGAAATCGGTTTGGCTCAAGCCACACTTTCTACTTAAGCTGAAAAAAAAAAACGAACGAAAATGCAGTAGTTCTTACCATTATTAAAAGTAACAGCAGCACTGGCTTGCTCTGGAATGCCATGCCATGTAGATGCAATTATTCTTGGATAACCAATTTCCACTTTGCCAGATCTCTGATAAATAAACAACTTTTTTATCAGTGTAAAAATCTGTATAACCAGAAATACAAATTTTATAGTTTAATGTGGAGCCAGCAGTCATAAGTGCTCAGAATGGGACTGCTGATGTCGTTTTGGATAAGGAATCAGCAAAGAAGTCCACAAGGAATCAGCAAAGAAGTCACCACAAAAGATATGCATCAGCCTCTAGGAGGGTGGACAATAAAAATAATTGGCCAACGCACGGGCTGCCCGTGCTAAGATGCGTTTTTTGCAGAGTTCCCCGCAGTTTT